CTCCTGCCCCCCGGGGGTGACCTGGGGACAGCGGGCCTCGCTCCATCATCCCCACCTCGCCGCCTGATCGCTTGGCGTGCGATCCGTTTGGGTGTCAGCGCTGCCGCGGGCCTTTCATTAATCACCCGGCGGGCCGGGCAGGGCAGCAGGGCTGCGGGGGGGCCAGGCTCTGAGGACCCACTCCCATCCCAGCAGCACAGAGGCCGCACGCCGGGACCCAGGGCCTGGTCCCAGCTGCTCCCGCCAGCACGGAGCCCCTTTAGGGACCCTCCAGAGGCAGAGGAGCAGGTGGGTGTGTGCAGCCGGGACTGGGCCCAGGCCCTGAGGGCTGGGACCCCAGAAGCCCGAGGGGGGGCGGTTGTGATGGAAGGGACTGATGTTTGTGGCCGGAGGGTGCAGCGGGGAGGGTCCTGGGACAGTGAGGACCTGGGGTCTCCATGCCTGGCTGCCCGAGAGGGGGGGTGGGCAGGCGGGGTCTCTGAGGCGAGGGGCGTGGGTGTGCTTTGCAGGAGCCAGGCCTCCCCACCTCCCGGGAGCCCCACTCCCAGCCCCTGGGAACGGGGTGGGGGGGCCTGGGCAGGGGCTCAGGGGCCACCAGGCTATTTGGAGCGCCGTGAATTATTAAGGGGTTCAGACTTATTCTGGGCTCTGGGGCAGCTGCGGTCTGAGAGGGCAGCATCTGGGCTCTATTTTTAAGGTTCTGCGGGAAGGAGCGAGACGCCACCACTCCGGCCCGCACGCCCTCTGGACGGGGATGGGGTGAAGACAGGGCAGAGCAGGGGGACGGGCGTGGGTGTGGGCAGCACGTGCCACTGAAGCCTCCTCCCAAACCCCATCCTGCTGCCCCGGGTCTCCTACGAACGCCCCGCCCAGCAGGTCCCGACCCCACCTGGGCTCACGACCACCCGGCCCGGCCCCCCAGGGACAGGCGAGGCTCCTTCCACCTCCAGTTTAAAAACGCCCACATGTAAGGACACCGTTGGGGACGAAAAGACAAGCCGAGTGGGAGCAGAGCTGAGGTGCGTGGCTGACGGGGCCGGGTCCCCCACAAAGAGCTCTGACACCCACAGCAGAACGAGACGGTTCAGTTTTAAAAAGGGCAAAGGGGCCCTGGCCGGGGTGGCTCAGTGGATAGAGCATCGGCCTGTGGACTGAAGGGTCCCGGGTTCGATTCCCGGTCAGGGCACAGGCCCAGGTTGAGGGCTTGATCCCCAGTGGGGGGTGTGCAGGAGGCAGCAGATCCATGATTCTGTCTCATCATCGATGTTTCTCTCTCTCCCTCTCCCTTCCTCTCTGACGTCAATAAAAATATATTTACAAACAAAATAAAAAGGGCAAAGGATTTGAGGAGACATTTCTCCCAAATGGGCAGTGAGCACACACAAGGGGCTCCCCTCACTCGTCAGCAGGGACATGCAAGGCAGATGCAGCCGGTGCCGGCATGACGGAGGCCCGGGCCTGGCTGTGGCCGGGAAAAGGCTGCCACTGAGCAAGCGCCGGCCGGTCCATGGAGTGAGTGGCCCCGAGAGCCAGGAAGTCACCCCTCGGGACAGAACTGTGGACGCGCATCACGAAAGCGTGCACATGGCCGCTCCGGGCAGCCGACCACAGGAGCCGGAACATGGCCGCTCCGGGCAGCCGCCCACAGGAGCCGGAACATGGCCGCTCCGGGCAGCTGCCCACAGGAGCCAGAACAGAAACCCAGCGTCCCCGTGATGGGTGGGTGAGAACCGGGTGCATTTTAATTAAAACGCACCAACTGCTCAGGTACGTGGCCTGCGAATGTACCTGACTCCGCGGCTCCTGGCTCAGGGGACAGGGACGGGGCCTGCGGAACATGCCTTTGTCCTCACATGCAGCTGGGAGGCCCGCGGAGCTCTGTGGTCAGAGGAAGCGGTGGCCTTAACTGCTCCCACTCTCCGGGAGGCCACGCCGTCACCGCACGCCCCTGAGGTGGCCCTGGGGGTGCTGCTGTGACGTCACCCCTGGAAGCTCTCCAAGGTTTAATGATCAGGAAGCTCAACCGGAAACAGCCGGTGGCAGATGTACCAGAGGGGACGGGGCAGAGCTGTAACATCCGTGCCGTCCAGCGGCCGTGAGCACCTTTGTTGTTTCAAAATCTATTTTTATTGATTTCAGAGAGGAAGGGAGAGAGAGAAACATTAATGATGAGAATCATGGATCGGCTGCCTCCTGCACACCCCCCACTGGGAATCGAGCCCACAACCGGGCCTGTGCCCCTGACCGGGAATCGAACCATATCCTCCTGGTTCATAGGTCGATGCTCAACCACTGAGCCACACTGGCCAGGACCACGTAGGCACTTTTAGAAAAAAAAACCCCTCCCGTGACCCCTGGGAAAGCCACTGGGCCCGGGTCTGGGCTCTGTGCTGAGAGGTCTCTGTGGGCATCACCCAGGCTGTTCCAGGCCTCGTGACCGTGGACGGGGACAGCGCAGCCATGGGAGCAGGGCGCTCGCGGCCCGTGTCTGAGTCCAAGCGCACCGCCAGCTGCTTTTTTTTTCTTCAGGGTGTGTCCTGAGGCCTGGGCTGTGGGCCTCGGGGGTCCTGCCCTCGCCTGGGGGCTCTTCGGGGCCTCCCTTGGGCCACACCTTTGGCCTCTGAGCCTTCCTGGTGATGACGTGGAGAAGGGGCAGCATCAAACCCCAGCGCCTGAGGGCCCCTCGCTACCAGGGGTCCCTGGAGGCTGCCCCTGACCTGGACCCTCCCCCCAGA